GGGAGTCGCTGGCGACTGGCCTGCCGCCACTGAAGATATCCACTACTCCAAAAGCCTCAAATGTCACTAGAATCGAGGAGCCGAGTTTCCAAATTTGCGTTTTGGAACCAAGTCAATGGGATGCGGCCAATAGCAAGTTCCGAGAGATTAATCCCACAGACAACCGACACTCACTGGACAGCAGAATCAGGGAGCCCGGGAGCCAAATTATGAGAAGCGATGAAGCAGAGAAGATTTTGCTTATCGAATATTCAAACGCCGACCCTCGTAGACCGTAGTTAAATAGTATCTGGCCTCAACTTCTGCGACGCAATTAATTTAAAAAATGAAGAAAAAAATAAGGAAAATTCCCTAAGAGTCTAACTTTGAGAAGTTCCCACGGAAGACAAAGGAAATGAGTAGTAACGATGTAATGGATAAATCGAAAGGAACGTTCCAAAAATGAACAAAGTTTAGTCCAGTTGGCACCCAAGGATTTTTTTATGGGCTCAGAGGCAACAGGTAGATAGGTAGCTAGATAAAAATGGATGAAGGAGAACGATCAAAATTAATATTAAACTATTTCTATAAAAAATAAGCCTACATCATTTTGAAATAATTATTTCTGAAATTTTAAGAAAGTAATTCCTGTAGAAATTGTAAAAATAACTGAAAACTGTGGGATAGACTTATTTTCTTTAGAAATAGAAATTGTGTGGGAGGAAATTAGACACTTATCTCGAGCGAGAAACCATGCTTGAATAAAGAAGAATGAAGAATAAAAATAATTCCAGAATAAGCGATGTATCATGTAATATATTCTAATGGCTGATATTTGCAGTTTATTATGCATTTAGTTGACGCAACTCCATCCAAGCACTGATTCTAAACATGTTTTTTCCGCGTTAGCATTGAATGCATTTATTGGTCGGAGACAGGAAAAGGGAAATAGTCTAAAAACAAGAAAATGTATCACGCTGTATTATTATGGGGGGCAATAACTGGAATGGTGTGGAAGTTAGAGGCAAATTCACAAACAGTTAGTGCCTCGTAAAGCAAAAAATTTCACGTTTCTAGAAATTTACTCTGACGAATATCTATTTAGAAAATTACGCGAATGAAATTCGAAGAATCATAAAAACACAATTACGATAATTGAATGTAAATCATATAAATACTTTGTGATTTAAAAATATGATTATTAACACTCTGTATAATGTATTATTCCGTATTGAGCCCTTCAAAGCGAGTAAGAATTATTATCAAACAATGATGTAATTCATCCATAAAAATTAGACTTTATAGTTCTCCCCAAAAAATGAATATTTAAATTTCACTGATTCATACTTCACACTTGGAACGCCTGTTATTAAGTAAAATTCCAAAATGAAGTTCTAATAGGAGCAACTTTTTCACTAAATTGCAATGTTCGCACGTAGAATAATTGGATGTGACTGACGTTTCAGAATTTTTAGTGACTGAAAAAACTGACGTGTCACACATGGGAGAGAAATACCAATGCACACATGCAGTAGGTCGATACTCTTTAATCTTCTATTGCCAGCAAACGTTTTTAAAAGCGACATGCCCTACATAAAATATCGACGGTCGCAATGGCATTCGTAATCATTTCAATTGTCACAGCTCGCGCCCGCAAACAGACCGAATACAAACGCGGGAGGAAAATAAAACCGCCACGATATCCCCTCCGTACGCCAACCCTGACAGACTCCCTGAAACGTCAGTTTGGTTAGCAACTCATTTTCACGGCTTCGATCTTAATATTCAAAATTCGACCCGTCAGGGCATTATGCAAGCAGCCCAGCCGCTGGCCACGGAGGTGGAGGGACGCGCGCTGTAATTGAAAATGACAGACAACATCGAACGAACGCGCAATTGGCTCACTTGCCCATATGAGTTTTGGCGTTTTCAAGCTCGTGCGCGTTATCTAGAGGGAGGCGAGATATATTGACAGCGGCAGCGAAATGCGGACCCGCTGGAACCCGACCGCGACGCTTCTATAATAGAGCGTCGCTCTGCCTCCGTATGACTCATTTTGCATTCTACGCACGGGAGGAAATATCAGATGGTATAAATGTTACTGCGCCTGTTGTGCAAGTGCCCGTGAATAAAATGTTTTTGAAACGCGTTTTACAGTTGTCCTTCAATGTCAAAATTAATATAAAATATCTTGATTTAATTCAAACTACAAAATATTGCATAGAAAGATAAACAACGTGTTTTAATTTTATGGTTTTTATGTCACCAATGGCTTCAATCAAACAGTGCTATGCGAGTAATAAAGGAACGAATGGCACTGCACTTTACGATCAATAGTTAATCAAATTCGAATGCTATTGTATATTTATGAACTTCATTACCTTGAAATGTACGATGCATACTATACCATACTAGCATAATAAAATTTACCATTCTGGATTTAATATTCCAACCTGTAAGTTCAAACATGAATACAAGAGTCAGACCTTTGAAAAAGTAACTGATGTTGTCAAATTCCAAATACTGACAGGATTTTCAATTGGTATTATTTCGTTCCTCTTAGAGATGGCAAGTAAAGCATTAAATGAGCATTCCCAAGCACCTTATGTATTTTGCGTGTTTGCAATAATCAACTATGATCTTCATTTTCAAGTATTAATGGCCAAAATTGAATTTTAGTTGTATGGGATGTTGCAAGGGAAACTCAGGATGTTTGACCGTTTTATTGTTTTTGTTGTATCCCCTTTTTTCATCCTTTCTTTTTACTTTCTCGCCGCGGAATAGAGAGAAAGGTTTTTTAATGCTGTGCGAAAAAACTGCGAATTAGCGGCAGAAAAACTCTTACTACAGTAACAAAAAAGGGGATAAATCCAGTTGTTAAATTCAGAAAAAAGTCCTCTAACACGTGGTGTAGCCAAAATCCATAATTTGCGGGTCATAGATACCTAAATATCAAATGACGGCAAAATGTCTGTCTGCCCGTCCGTTCGCTGGCCGTCTGGCTGTCCATCTGTGAACAATGCTAGAGGCTAAACCGCTCAGCTTATTTTCTCCACAATTGATTTTCCTTAATCAATCTTACTGATGATGCGGCCCTTGAATTTGAAACCGATATTTTAATTTTCGGTTTACTTTACATGAAGCCTCTGGGACATTTTCCTGATTTAGAAAAAAGTCACCATCGTTTTTGTTTAAATTTTGTTGTTGACTAGTGTGAAGGACGTTTTAGAGAATAGTGTAGGTCTCATGTACATTGAAAACTAATTTTTCG